ATTACCAAGTTACGATATGCAGATTACAAAACCTTGCTTAATAAAAGCTAAGAAGACATAAAGCACATACTGAAGAAGATCAAACACTACAGCCTTCAGCATATATTTTGCCTCAACAGAAAGAAAACAGAAATCCTCACAATTGGATCAATAATCAATATCATGATAAACAGAAAATACTGAGGTTACATTTTATTTGGATCCACAATTAAAGCCCATTGTGGATCCATAAAAAAAGCAGTCAGGTAATCAAAGGACATATTAGATTGGGCAAATCTGCTGCAAAAGATCTCTTTAAAGTGATAAAAAGGAAAGATAGCTCTCTGAAGACTAAATTGAACTTGACCAATCCATGATATTTCCAGTTGCCTCATATCCATGGAAAAGCTGGACGATGAATAAGAAAGACAAAAATAAAATTGGTGCCTTTGAACTATGGTGTTGGTGAAGAATATTAAACATATCATGAACTGCCAGAAGAGTGAACCAATCTGTCTTGCCAGAATGCTCCTTGGAAGGGAGGATGGAGAGATTTCATCTCATGCACTTTGGATATGTCATCCGGAGGGATCAGTCCCTGCAGAAGAAACTCCTGTTTAGTGGAGGGTTAGAGAAAAGTTAAGTGATTGTGAGAAGGGCATAGCCCTGATTGTGCAGTGGTTAAGTGGTAAATTGCTAATAACTGAAAGGTCAGCTGTAGGAGCCCCCCCAGTTATTTCAAGGGAGAAAGCTGTGGCAATCTGTTTCTGTGAAGACTACAGCCTAGGAAAACTTATGGGGCAGTTCTACTTTGTTCTGTGGGGTCACGATGAGTTGGAATCGACTTGATAGCAGTGAGTTTAGTTTGGATTTGGAAAAAGGTTGTCATGATGATTCAATGAGATCAAGCATCCGAAGCATTTACCATTGTGCACACTGCATTGTCAAGTCAGTTCCAACCCATATTGACCCTGTGTAGGATTTAGGAGAGTGGCTGCTAACCTTGTGGTTAGCAGTTCAGTGCCTATCCTACAGAACCACATATTACCCTGTAAAGGATACTTGATAATAAGTTCCACTAACATGTATTATCACCTTCATTCTTCCTCTCTGTCCATATCATGAAATGCCAGGACGAATTCAGGATAAGTCCTAAAACAAGATAAGTTTCCTTTGTGCTCAATCATCAGTGTGGAAACTGGGAATCTGCTTCTGAGTTGTATATTCTCACAGTAGATCTTCTCTTGGCATCCTTGTTGTTGTTGTTTAGTGCCGTCGAGTCGGTTCCGACCCATAGCGACCCTTAGAAATTCAAATATTAATTTGATTGTGGTGGTGGTTATGTGTCATGGAGTCGGTTCCGACTCATAGAGACCCTGTCATAGAGACCCTGTACAGGGTTTTCGAGGCTGGAAATCTTTATGGGAGCAGAAAGCCTCATCTTTCTCCCATGAAACAGCTGGCAGTTTCGAACAGCTAACCTTGCGGTTTGCAGCCCGATTCGTAACCACTATGCTACCAGAGCTCTTTTAGGTGGTGCGTAGTCTCCTGTCTGGCAAAGACTAAGGAAAGAAGTCATACACCTTGTGCTATTTGATTAAAATGTGTAGAAAAATTATGTAAGGCAGTACCTGGCCCAGGGATGAAAAAACATACACAGAGAACATTACTTGGATGTACTGGCATGGGTTTTTGACAAACATAATATTAGAATGTGTGGTTGTTGTTGATAAGTGCCGTTGAGTCGGTTCCGACCCATAGTGACCCTGTACAGGGTTTCCAAGGGTGTAAATCTTTACAGGAGTAGAAAGCCTCATCTTTCTCCCGCGGAACGGCTGGTAGTTTCGAACCGCTGACCTTAAGGTTCGCAGACCGATTCGTAACCACTACGCTACCAGAACTCCTAGAATGTGTGGAGAGTACGGCAAAAGGGAAAGAATATTCTCATTGGCTTAGAAAAAAATCATCATGAATACAATGTATTCTTACATGCTTATTCAATTGCTTTGACCCCTTTGGGGATCAGTTTTTGAATAGACAGTGGAGATGTACTTTTATGTATAAGGTTGAGGACAACAGGATGTTTCAGTGACTGAAAATTGACATTGTGTGAACAGTCAGCATCACTGTGGTGTATGTGGCTGAAACTCTGCTGACCCACCAACAATGATGAATAATCATGGACTCTTCAGGGGCTCTGGCTCTAGGTCTTTACTTGCTGTTGCCCTGGCAGGAGCTCTGCCAGCTGTCTGATCTGCTCTGAATTGGCTTGGTCAGCAGAATATCCCACTGCCCACATTGTGCTGTTGGTCAGGGCTGGCCAGCTGAGGCCTCTGCTTCCAAGCACATCCTCCCACCCCTCCCACCCCAGTGCCCATCCTCATCTGTGGGAAAGTATAGCTGCCATCACTTTTGCAATGTCTTCCTTCCCAATAAGCCCACTGTACTCTGAATCTAAGAAATGGAAATCTATTCACACATGTACTACATGTACTATGCTTTTTCTTTTTGTCTTCCTCTTTCCCTCAGGCCTTCCTCTCTTTCTTCCTTTCTTTGTCTCCTCATTTTTTTTTTCCTTTTTTGTTGGCTTGGGTAAAAATTTGCTACAATAGAGCCTAAACTCCAACTATGCAGGCTGTAACATTGCACCTTCTAAACTTACTTGTTGGGTGTTCCATTTGTGGTAAAAAAAGAAACAGAACATCCTCTTGTACAATGCTCGCATGTAAGCACTAGGTCTAAAAAACAGGCAGAATTCACTAATTTGCTGCAATTTCAATAGCTCCATTTCATTTAGAAATCCAGTGACCTTCAGTATTCTATTCTTCATAAAATACTAAATATTCAAGCTTTCCTATAAGGCAAGAAATCAGTTCAAAACCGAATGTCAATGCAAGTGTCTCCTTTATGTGCTGAGGTACTAATGCTTAGGTAGACTGCTCTCTAGAGTTTATGTGGGTCCACTAGGAAGTAAAGGTTGTGTTCCCTGCTGTCAAGCAGATTTTTGACTCATTGTGACACTGTAGAACCCCATCGTTTTTCTAGGTAGTAATCTTTACAGAAACAAATCACCCATACTGTCCCAACAGAGTGGTTTGGTGGGTTCAAACCACTAACCTCTGGGTTAGCAGCCAAGGGCTTAATCATTGTGCCACCAAGGCTTCTTGATTCTCAGTTTTTAATAAAAGTTCTGTAAGAACCTTGACATTTCTTAATTTTCTGAGTCTTCTTCTAGCCAAAATGCAAGGGGGTCAAATTCCACCCAGAAGACGAATCCATGCTCTCTCCTCAAATCTCTCATCCTTTCACTTCTTTTTCCTTCTTCTTTCTCAGTTTATGGGTATTATTTTATTTATTATTTGCAATATAGTCTTCACATGTGTCTTAATTTCGATGGGACAGGAAGAAAATATACTTGAATGCAAAATTATAATTGCTCACTTTCTCTAATTGATCTGATTTTCCCATTTCCTCTCTTTCATTCCCTGTAAACCCTTCCTATGAAGTATATGCTTCAGTTAAACTGGTCAACTTAGAGTCCTCTGAATCTTGAATGGAATCCCTAATGTCAGGAATGAAGTGGGCAACTATATTTCTTAATAAATATCCTTTCAAGTGTCTTGGGGATGATATTGATGAAGTAGCCGAAGCAAAGAACACTGAGGTTTGGTCTTTTGAGACAAGTAAACAAGGATATAAATTTTATACTTCATATTGACACAGCATTTGTCTAGTTGTATCCCATCAAACTGTCACAAACTGAAGTCAATGAGAGTTGTAAATGAGAAATTGAAGGCCAAATTTAGAGTTGTTTGTGGTGTTTGTTTTTAGTAAGTAGAGCTGATCTTGATAGCAGTTTTAAAAGATTTTAGTACTGCATTTCAGAAAAACTCTCAAATTGTTTTTTTCTTTCAGGCTTATCTAAACTGAATAAAGCAAGATAAAGACATCTCTTCCAGTCACAGTATTTGTAGTATTTCTAATTGAATCTATGCAGAATAAAAACTCTTAGTGCTTTGCTATTCAATAATAATAATAATAATAGATTTTTCAGATTAAAAAATAAAACAGTGGTCTAAAAGTTCACATACTAAATTTTCAGGCCAACTATGTGCTAACCTTCCTGTTGGTTTTACTTTTTCCTATGCATATTCTATTGCAAATTTTATCATTTCCCTCTGAGCCCACCCATCATATGTCTGTCTCTTAAAGGTCCTTACTTCTATGTACATCGCCGCAGGGCCCAAAAGGCAGGAGAGCCAAGGACCTGACTGTAACTTGCCGTTAAAGAGCAAGATTTCAACATGGAGTGTCCTACTAATATAAGTAACTTGAAATGATTGATCCCATCCTAATTTGCTTTCAGAATCTTCTCTGGGCTTCAGAAATGTTCTTCTTTCCTAGCTTTCCATGTCTGTTCATAAAAAAAAAAAGTACCAGAAAAAATCCTGTCGCCTGCTGTCATATGGAAACCTTTCTGCAACTAATTTTTCTCCTCCAGATTTTATATTGGGTTTTAATCAGTCATTCCACCCTTCCTCCTGGGTTGTTAAAAATACACTTTTCGTTTTCCAGTTCCCCTTTCTTCCAGCACCTTGTCTATTCTCACTGAATATTTCTCCCTCAATCACTCTCATTACTGCCATTTTTTAAACTGCCATACATGCACCCTCACGTCTTGTACCTCCTCAGCTTCTTAAAGAGAACATCACCAAAGCTATGTGGGTTTGATGGATACTCTTGCAGTTTAAGCAACCAGGGGGAAAAAAAAACAAGTAAACAAAACAACCAAAAACAATGCATTTATCCAAAATAAGCCAGGGCGTAGAGAGAGGTTACTCCATTTGTAAATTTCCTATTGTGCATAGGGAATGATAACTCTTGTGTTTTGTTTCAATGACCTTATTCTTATTTTGTAGTTTACCTTTAAAAGATAAGAAAATTATTTTTCAAGTTTTCCAAGTGAGATTTTTAATAAACTTGATTCTGTGCAATTGGGCCCTGCTTTGTTGCCTACTTACTGAAAAGGACGAGGCTGGCGTTGGTGATTCCCAGCTTGTTGGCAGCCACGCAGGTATAGTTGCCATAGTGCTCCTCAGTGACGTTGGCCACCGTCAGGGAGGACTGGCCCTCCGTGCTCTTAATCTCAAGACCATTGGCACTGTTTATCCTAAGAGTTCAAAAACAGAAGAGCACAAAGAAACACTGGCGGCATTTTTAATTTAGTAATTCTTCCCCACAATGTAAAAAAACAAAAGGAGAGAAAGGAAGAAGCTAGAGACTGTTGCTCCCTGCTGAATTTCAGACTTAGTTGTGCATTCCCATATTATCAGAAACAATATTCATCAACAGAGCAGGAATAACTGAGTTCCATTGTGAGTGTCCGCTCTAGGCAAGAAAAGCATGCAAATGGAAAACTACCTACTTCACTGCTTACAGTTTACCTGGAGGCTTTTGTGCTTCAGTTAAAGAGATACAGATCCCAAAGGTCTTGATAACGGAATATGGAAGAGCAACAGTCTGGTATTATAAGTCTACATAATTCCAATCGTTTGGTTTTACTGTTAGGAATTGTTGGGTCTGTAGGATCACTTGGTAAAGGAATGGTGTATGTCAAGTCTGGCACATACCTGGTGTCATCTCGGTACCACTCAAAGTCAGGCGCAGGCACTGCAGAGGCCTCACATTTCAGTGAAGCTTGTCGCCCTGTGGTGGCTTCATTGCTCTTGGATTCTGTGATAGTGGGAGGATCTGTAGGAAGGACAGACATAGAGGTTTACCTAAGAGTCAAGGTGTGCTCCAGAATTTCCATGCAGGAAGGAATGAGTAAAGACAGTCTAATTGGAGTCCTGGTGTGGCGCTGTGGGTTAATGCACCAGACTACAAAGCCGTTTGAACTGCAAGGTTGGTGGTTCAAGCTCACCAGCTGCTCCTTGGAAATCCTATACAGGGTCACCATGGGTTGGAATTGACACGATGGCACTTACCAACAACAACAGCAACAATTGGAAAGTAATGGCAAAAGAATGGTCTACAGATCAGCTGTCTGGAACAGATCACTAGGAAACTTAATAAAACTAAGAGACGATTAATGAAACTGGATACTTGGTTTACTTAAATGGGGGCATTTGACAGGAGGTTATTGGAGTCCTGGTGTGGCATTATAGGATAAGCACTGGACCACAAGGTCAATTTGAACTTCAAGGTCAGCAGTTTAAATTCACCAGCTGCTTCTTGGAAACCCTACACAGGGTGGCAGTGAGTCAGAATTGACTCAACGGCACTAAACTTAACAACGACAGTGAAATTTCACTAAAGATTTGTTTTTTCCTTTCTACAATACTAAAAGCAAGTTTCTGGGGGTTGAATTCAATCAGTGATGTTTCTTACAATAGATTATCAATTATTCCAACTGAAGATTGTAATATTTTCATAGCTTTTTAATTATCATAAATTAAACATCTGTACTGTAGAGCTTAGAGTCCTGGTGTGGCACTGTGTCTTAATGCGCTGGACTGCAAAGTCAGTTTGAACTGCAAGATTGGTGGTTCAAGTTCACCAGCTACTCCTTGAAAACACTATACACAGTCCCTATGAGTCAAAACTGACTTAATGGCACTTGACAACAACAACAACTATAGAATTTTTCTTTTTTCACCATTGTTGTTGTTATTATTATTATAATTTGAGATGGCTCCAAGAGTCTCATGGAAGTAAGGCTAAAGTTCTCCTAACTCAAACTTGGCCTGATAACAATTTCAGGAAAGGAATTCAGGGAGAACTTGTATTACATGATTATTCTATCTTCTTTTATTGTACAAGTTCACTTATTGCTATAACCTGGTAAATTTTGCTTTTGTGTTTTTTGGGTTTAGTTTGAAGTCTATCCTTTTGCACAGAAAACTTTCTGTTGGATCAGCACTCTACTCTCTCTCCCACTTATATAGTTGCTTTTTCCTTTCCTAGGACTGGGCCTGCAAAACTATAAAAGGTTTGAAATAAGCTCAGAAACTTATCTGACTTATTCTAAATTGCTGTGATACTTTACAACAATCCTGAAAGTAGGTGAAATACATGCTTCCAGGTCCATATAACTGAAACAGTACGGTAGATTTGAACTTCTGTTTTTGATGCTGCTGCTGTGTTCATGTAGGTTATAGACTTTCAAGGAGTAAAAATCCTCTGCTCCAAAGCTATTTGATAGAATGTCTCTGTGTACATGTGAAAAAAGTAAACCCAAGCATACTGTTTAGATTTAAAGAGGAGAAAACACTTTCAGAAAATAGAAAACTATAATATAGAAATCAATTAAACCCTGGTCTTCAGCACCTGATATATCTCACAGGTTCCCCCTGCAATCCAAAAGTAGTGTTCCTATGAAAACTTTTGTAAACCAAAATGGTGTAAACCAAAGATGGAATTTTTAATTCATATGTGTAAAAGTTTATGGTCTTCCAGACTCAAAATTGAATCTACCAAATTATATGAAATAATGCATAAAAATCTAAAATAACACTAATATCCAGTGTCACAGAGCTCAAGGCTACGGTGGTTTGATGGCTGAGATTGCTGTGTGTAGTTGCCAAGGAAGAAGCTTGGGGATACCACTATCACTACTGGGGTTGCCCACTGCTTCTTTACCGACTCACTGCAAAACAAACACTGATGTCATTGGCCATCAGAGAAAGAATGGGCACCATCAGCTCATTTGTAAAGCAACAGGCTAGAGTAGGATTTTACTATGTTGTTGTTGTTAAGAGCCATTGAGTCGGTCCCAACACATAGGGACCCTGTATAGGGTTTCCAAGGAGCAACTTGTGAGCTTGAACTGCCGACCTTGCAATTCAAGTGGCTTTGCAGTCTGGCGTATTAACCCACAATGCCACAAATTTTACTATAATTTTGTTTAAACTTATATACCCATTTCAACGTAGACCCCAAAAGGCAGTTATAGCTATGAAATAGTGGGAGGAACCTTAGATGGGAATCTAGGAGTTTTGGAATTTAATTTCAGTTTGGCTGTGTAGACCTGTTCTCACACACTATCTTTCTGGACCTTAGCTTTTGTTGTTGTTGTTAAGTGCCGTCGAGTCGGTTCCGACCCATAG